AGCCAACACCTGAGCCTTTACTGCTGTTCTTGGCTTGTACTGAATGTCAAAATCTCCTAACTCTACTCACCACTTCATCAGTCGACTAGAGCTTTCTGGCTTATGTAGGACCTGTCGGAGGGGTTAATCTGTTAGCACCACTATCGTATGCGCTTAAAAGTATGGTCTCAGTTTCCTAGCAGACACAATTAAAAGTATGGTCTCAGTACTCCGCACCCCTAAGTGCTCTACTCACAAAGTATACTGGCCTTTGGACCCTTTCTTTTTCTCGTATCAGAGCTGAACTGACAGCTGTCGTGGAGACCGCAAGGTATATGTATAGTTCCTCTCCCGGTATGGTTCAAGACAGTAGTGAGGGAGAGCTAAGGTATTGCTTTAGTTCTTTGAACGCCTGCTCACACTTTGGGGTCCATTCAAAAGCCTTCCTTAGCACAAGAAAGAAAGGTAGACACCTGTCAGTTGACTGAGAGATTAGCCTACTCAAGGCAGCAATCTTCCCTGTTAGTCGTTTTAGATCCTTGGTTGATCTTGGCAATCTCATGTCAATGACTGCTCGGATCTTTTCTGAATTGGCCTCAATTCCTCTTCTGCTTACCATATATCTGAAGAACTTTCCTGAGGAAACCCCAAAGGCACACTTGTTGGGGTTGAGTTTCATCTTATGCCTCCTAAGTACCTCGAAGGTCTCCTGCAGGTCAGTCGAATGGTCTTTAGCTTTTAAGTTTTTCACCAATATGTCATCAACATATACCTCCATATTTATACCAATTTGGTGCTTAAACATTGCATTCACTAGCCTCTGGTATGTTGCACCACCGTTCTTGAGCCCAAAAGTCATTATTTTGTAACAATACAAACCTCTATCAATGATGAAGGCCATTTTTTCTCTATATGAGGTGTACATAGATATCTGGTTGTATCCAGAATATGCATCCATGAAACTTAGTAGTTCATGTCCAGTCGTTCCCTCAATGAGCATATCGATTCTTGGGAGAAGAAAACTGTCATTCGAGCAAGCTTTGTTAAGGTCGGTGAAATCTACACATAGCCTCCACTTTCCATTTGCCTTCTTCACTAGGACCACATTTGCCAGCCAGTAGGGGTAGTACACCTCTTGAATAAAGTAAGCTTTTAAGAGCTTTTCCACTTCTTCTAATATAGCCTGATTCCTCTCTGGAGTGAAAGTCCTCCTCTTTTGTCTGACAGGTTTGAAGTTAGGATTTACAGTTAGGCAGTGCCCCATGATAGTGGGGTCTATACCTAGCATGTCTTCATGCGCCCATACAAATACGTCTCGATTCTTCCTGAGGAATTAAGTAAATTCATCTTTGATACTTAGGGGGAGTAAAGACCTTATACTCACTTTTTTCTCGGGCTCACCATCACCAAGGATAACCTCTTCTAGCTCCTTTGTAGGTTCTACTCTATGAAAGTCTGGCCTATCTCTCCCTTCCAGCCCTTTAATCGTAAGTTCCTCTTGCGAATTTGTTTTTCTGAGAGAGGCGACATAACATTCTCGAGCCATTGTTTGGTCCCCTCTTAGCTCTTCCATACTATATTCAGTTGAGAAACGCATCAGGAGATGGTAAGTGAAAGTGATTGCTTTCATGGCATTCAAGGTTGTCCTCCCCAGGATAATGTTGTATAATAATGGGCAGTCCATAACTACAAAGTCCACTATTACAGTGACCTACTTTGGATTGGCTCCTGCAGTGACTAGAAGGGTAACTACCCCTAGTGGATATACTTTATCGCCTGAAAATCCCACCAGTGGTGACTTCATGGGTCGGAGCTTCTCTTGGCCAATTTTCAATTTGTCTTACACCCCAAAAAATAGTATGTCAGCCAAGCTACCATTGTCTATTAGTATTCGTCGAACAGTGACATTAGTGATGACCATGGAAATTACTAGAGGGTCATCATTGGGCTGGTGAATTCCCTTGTCATATTTTTCAGAAAAAGGTTATGATCAGCTCTTCAACTCGCGGTAATTTTGTTGGAAGACTTGTCACTCTAACTTCATTCACATCTGAAAAACTCCGAATTCTCCTGGCATGAGCCCTCCAAGCCGAACTCGTCTCCCCACCACCAGCGAAGCCATCTGATATAACTTTGATCTTACCCATTGGTTGGTGTTGAGGAGGGCAATCATCTCGGCCCTCTCGGGCTGGGTTGGAGCCTCCTTTTCCATTCCCAATCGTAAATTTGAGTAAATGACCCTTACGAACAAGGTTCTCAATCTGATTTTTAAGGTCGAAATAATCTTCTGTGTTATGTCCATGGTCCCGGTGGAGCCTACAGTATTTATCTCGAGACCTCTTTGTTGGATCAACTTTTAGCTTTGGTGGCCATTTCAATGATACGTCATCTTGAATCTGCAGAAAGACCTGCTTTACAGATGTATTTAGGGGGGTGTAATTATTATACCTGCTTGGGCTCACTGGACGGCGAGACGATCTGTCAGCCTGGCTGTTTGAGAATTTCTTATACTTTATTCCCTCTCTTCCCTAGTGCTAGGTGCTGGCCTCTTTTTATCCGACCTCTTATCTTCACCATCTTTGTTTTTTCATGCATTCATAGTATCCTCAGCGTTTATATTCTTTCGCGCTCTAACCATTAACTTTGTCATGCTCGTAAGGGCTTCATTTGACAAGGAAAATAGGAACTTAGAGGTTTGTAGTCCTCTTATAAAGGCTGTGAGGGCAACCTTGTCGTCCACCTCTTCTACCTGCAGCATTTCAGAGTTAAAACAACTTATGTAATCACGAAGAGGCTATCTCCTTCTGTTGCTTCACATTCAGTAAATGTATTGCTGGTCTCCTATGCCTCTATCCAGCGATGAAGTCCTATGAATTGTTTGCGCAACTTTTCAAAGTTTTCAATGGAGCCTGGTTTTAATTTATTAAACCAGAGACGAACCCAACCCTTTAGTATGGTAGGGAAAGCCTTGCACATAATCTCGTCCGGTACGGCTTGTAAATACATAAGAGCTTTGTAGGTCTCCAAATGGTCGAGAGGGTCCCGCGTCCCATCGAAGCTCTCAAGAGTTAACATCTTGAATTTAATAGGTAGAAGACAACTCATAATAGCTGGGCTAAAAGCTAGGTTGGTCTTCTGTACCATATCATTTACTATAACCTAGCCTTCCCTTTTATCGCTTGCATGACGTCGTCAACTCTATCTTTCAGATCCTGCATCTCTAGATCGATATGAGTGGCGTCCTCAATCTTATCACTAACGTAACTAGAAGTATCTCCATAGAGCCTGGTGGTATTCTGTTCAGGGGACCGATGGTGATGGCTCCTCTATTGACCCCTTATTTGACTAAGCTTAACATTGTTGTTAACCCTACGGGAGTTATTGTTGGGTACTTCACTGTTGGGGGCGGCTAAGCATTACAAAATCATCGCATTTTGTTGGACTAAGGTTTGAACTTGTTGTTCCAACGTTGCGACGCGTTCCTAATCATTTGGGACGACAGGGGGTTGCCCCGTCGAGTCCCCTTTATCAGAAGCCTGCAATGCTTCGTCCTCGCCAGCAACCAGACCAGATCGCAATTGAACCATGCTTTGTTTAGAGAACAAAAATATGTTTCCACAGGCGGCTCGAACTGTTGATGATGGATTTTGCGCAACCCAGATCTGATCTGACTTCTTGAAGAAAGAGAAGAAAAGGTGATCCTACAAACACCGTAGTGTTACCGATGGAGTAGGCTCTGATGAACAAGTTAGTGTGCGAAGTAATCTCTCTGGAGAAATCAAGAAATTGAGTTAGGATTTATTGTGTACCTCCAAACGTCGATTAGCCCCCTTTATTTATAGGGCTTAGGTTAGGATGTCACATAGAGTTACCATTATTTTCATTCTTATCATAATCTGTAGGCTTAATCCTTATCGTAATCTGTCAGTTTAACCCTTATCGTAATATGTAATCCTTATCCTAATTTGTAGAGCCTATATCAATCTTATGATATAACGCGTTAATTTAACAACCTTTCCTTATCCACGGGTATTTAATTTATTCATCCATCATCTTTAATACAGCCTTTCTTCAGAACTAAGTCTAAAATTAGATGGTATGTTTTTAATCGACTGAAACTGCCCTTGCCTTCCAAATCGTAAAAGCAGACTTCTTTATTGTGTTCAATATAAAACGGTAAAGTCTAACATGGCAGAGTCTGTAAATTTGTATATATATAATTCGAGATAAACAACAAACAATGAAATATCCATATCGATTATTACAATTGGGAACCAAACCCACCTCTTTTTGTTGTGTCAAACACTTATCAAGGCTTTCTCTATGTCCCTCACAAATTTCATAAATCACCTACCCTCACTCAATAGAGAAAAAAAATAAAAAATTGAAACCAAAAAAGATCGAAGAAAAACAAAATTGAAGAATCGTATAATTTTTTATGAATGAAATAGATGCTATAATTTACACTGCAGTTTACTTACTTAAACAATCTAACGAGTTGATGGCGAAGCACAGTTTAGCAATGGCAAGCGGCCAAAGGTTGATTTCTTTGATCTTTCGGTATGCTAGGTATTAGCATCCGATCGGACTTGTTCCTTCCGTTGATATATATATATATATATATATATATATATATATAATATCTTTTAAGGGATTTTTGTCCACTGGTTACAAAAATGATTCAAGAACATGCATTTATAGGAGAAATAGAGAACTCTAAAATTACACAAATTATAAGATAATAAATTAAACACTGGAATAAATATATATATATTTTTCCTGAATGAAATAATATTAACTTCAATATTAGTCTCATGATCCAACAAATTGCTTTGATTTACATTCTCCACACACTCTTGAAGTTTCCAATAAATTTGGTTTAGTCTTCCACCAAATTATGTTGTGGCTGTAGCTGGTGAAACCAGGAAACCAAACATGCATCATTCTGAAAACCTATGAAGATTCAAATGATGCAGTAGTAGAAGGTGTAATATTCAGAAATTACTCTCACAAGACATAGAATGTTAAAGGTTGAGTCTATCCATGTAAAGGCCAGATCATCCGCATTTGACAAGCTTTTGATGGCGCAATGTTTGAAGAAGAAAGGCCATATAGTAGCAGTCACAAGCGATGGAAACAACACACTCAAAGATGCAGATATTGGGCTCTCCGTGGGGATCCAAGGCACAGAAGTGGCAAAAGAGAGCTCAGATATAATCATCTTGGATGATAATTTCTCCTCTTTGGTGACAGTTCTGAGGTGGCGCAGGTGTGAGTCGTACGCAGCGGAATGTATACAGGAAAGTTTTTATTTGTTTTATAAAACAGATCTGTGTCGTTACCAACTTTACATATTTTAGCAATTTAAACAGTTAATCACATGCATATAAAATAAAGCAAAGTAAAGGTAGAGATGACACCATGATTTTAGCGAGGAAACCCCAGTTAATAAAATATGTCAACTGTTATGGGAAAAACCTCGTGGACTTGTGCAATCCAAAGTAAACCAATCCACTATGCTTGAAACAAAGTATACCAAACTTTGACTCTGGCTTACACCCTATCGTTCTACACCACACCAACTGCTGACGATCCTCTGGCTTTGCGACTCCCCGTCCAACAGCAACTTGATCTCAGGCTTACACTTGATATTTGTAGAAGAGTAGCAAGTAGATCAGATAACACTCCACGAATGCTCTAACCCTTTCAAAGTGTGACTGCGTTTACTTCTGTTTTCAATCGTCTGAATGATGTAGAAGAAGATCTGTTTCGTCTGATCGATGTAAATACAACTGCATGATCACGATCAGGATTCGAATACCACAACTCTAAACTAAGTGTTTATGTGTATATGTTCTAGAAAGATATCAGAAAATATCAACTCTGATTTTCTGTAAAAATAATCTTCCTAAGGCTTTGAATAATATCTGAATAATAATGTAAAAGCCCTTTTCAACCAATGTATATGACATGGTTTATATAGAGTTTAGAATGACCTAATCCCTCTGAAAATAAGATAAAATTCGTGCATAGGATTTGGTACAATTCTAAACCAACTAGGAGAGAAATCTGAAATAGGAAACTAAACTTTCCATAGGCTATCAGGACTCTTAAACCTATTCAAAGAATTGGGAACCGGTTCAAAAATGGCAGAATGTATTTCGAGGCCAATGTTGAAAACTTGAACTTGTTCAAAGAATTGGGAACAGGTTCAAGAATGGCAGAATGATTTTTATACGACATTCTAATGGCTTGAACCTGTTCCAAGAATCATAAACAGGTTCAAATCTACCAGACTTGAAATTATCAAATATGGAATGTGTCCTAACCTTTTTTGATTTCTTCCTAACATGGTGTTCTTCCTTTTCTGTGATGATCACAATTATAGCATTTTTGAACAACCTTCCAAATCCATAGTCTCCGTCGATCTTGATAAATTGCATTACAAGTAACTTAAATTACAACTCAACATAGACTTGTTATGTCTACGACAATTGCCAAAAATAATTAATATCTCACAGCAGGTGTGTTTACAACAACATTCAAAAGTTTCATGTGAATGAGAAGGTCAAGGACACGCTGATCAATTTCAATAGTTTTGTTCTCTGCCAAGTTTTTAGTGAGTTTAATGCAAGGAAGTTGGAGAAGAAGAACATATTTAAGGGGATACTGAAGAACAAACTGTTTCTAGGAATCGTTGGGATAACAGTAGTTCTTTTAAAGGGGTTTATTAATACGGAAAGGATGAAATAGGATCAATGGCGTGCATGCATCAGAACATATATATAGAGCTTTCTCAGCCTTCTATCATACAGAGCTTCTGTATCCTGAAACAGACAACCACAATCAGGTGTTGCAAACATATTATATATATATATATATATATATAATATGTTTGCAACACCTGATTGTGGTTGAAATATCGAGACACCTGAAACAAGATAATTAAGAAAAAGGAAATTATTACTCAGAGAAAGCTTGTGTGCTTTTGTGATTATGATGTTTGTCTTCAACTTCAACATGTTGAGTGTGCGTAGCGGAATGGTTGTGGAATATATTATATGGATAGATAATCTAGAGAGATGGTAAATAGATTCAACTTACTCTTTTATCCAATTTTTACTTATTTTAATTTTACCGAAATAAAACTAAAATCAAACCACAAAGCAAAAATAAAGTGCAAGTAAAGTAAATAGAGTTTGAGAGATGATACCAGGATTTTATCGAGGAAACCCCAATTGGTAGAATAGACCAATTGTAACAGGAAAAACCTCGTTGGACTCTCCAATCTTGAGATAAACGATCCACTATGTTTGAAGCAAAGTATACCGAACTTTGACTCAGTGTCACACCCTATCGTTCTACCAAAAACCAATTGCTGACAATCCCTGGCTTTGCAACTCCCCCGTCCAACAGCTCTCGACCTCAGGCTTACTCTCGATCTCTGTAGAAGAGTTGCAGGTAGATCAGACAACACTCCACGAATGCTCTGACCCCTTCAAAGTGTGATCGCTTCACCCCTTTTCTTCTATATCTGAATTTGACGAAGAATGAATGAATTCTGCTTTTCCGAAATTTCTGAATCTTCAATTATGCTTTAATTCCGATGAGATAGAGAACAACACTCCTAAATCACTCTTGTGTTTATGTGTGTGCTCTCAAAAATAAAATCAGAAAAATCAGATTGATTTTCTGAATGAATAAAAAATATCTCTCAAAGATGGCTCTCAATTAGATTTGAATTTTCTATGCAAAAGTCGTTCATAAGAATATCTCTCTAAAGGCTTTCTCAAAATATAGAATTGATGTTCCTTAAAGCCATGAATAAACCAATGTATATGATAAGGTTTATATAGAGTTTAGAAAGTCCTAATCCCTCAGAAAATAAGATAAAATTCGTGCATAGGATTTGGTACAATTCTAGACCAACTAGGAGAGAAATCTGAAACAGGAAACTAAACTTTCCATAGGCTATCAGGACTCTTGAATCTGTTCAAAGAATTTGGAACAGGTTCAAGGATGGCAGAATGTATTTCGAGGCCAATGTTGAAGACTTGAACCTATTCAAAGAATTGGGAACAGGTTCAAAAATGACAGAATGTTTTCTAGGCCAAATTCAAATGGCTTGAACCTGTTCCAAGAATCATGAACAGGTTCAAATCTGCCAGACTTGATTCCTAAGGTTCTAGGCACTGTTTTTGGTATATTCTGAAACTTACCAAATATGGAATGTGGCCTAACCTTTTTAGATTCCTTCCTAAAGTATTGTTCTTACCTGTTTCGAATGATCTCAGTCATGATAACTTTGAACAACCTTCCAATTCTGCAGTTGCTGTCGATCGGATATGGTAACTTGAATTACAACTCGACAAGGACTTGTTTTGACACCGAAAGTTGCCAATTACAGAATATATATTTTTTACAGTCTTCCCAAAATATATATCTTACACAACATTCCTTAACTTTAGCCTTGAATCAAGGCATTGTGGAAGTGGGTGGGCAATAACAAATGCAAAGTGAACCAAGCCACCAAAAGTAATCAGCACTAGCAATGATTATGGCCATATCACAACAATAAATCAGCCTTCCAATACTAGCAAGCTTCTTTAGAAGCTCTAGCATAACCACTTGAAGAACTATTGTCATCCCGATCGACCATCCCTAGAAACAGTTTGTTCTTCAGTAACCCCTTAAATATGTTCTTCTTCTCCAGCTTCCTTGCATTAAACTCATTAAAAACTTGGCAGAAAACAAAACTATTGAAAATGAGTGTGTTCTTGACCTTCTCGTCCACGTGAAACTTTTGAATGTTGTTGTAAACAAACTTGCCTTACCTCTGAACTGTCACCAAATAGGAGAAATTATCATCCAAATGATTATATCGATCTGAGCTCTTTTTAGCCACTTTTGTGCCGTGGATCTCCATGGAGAGCCCAATTATGTGCTTCTTTGAGTGGCATCATTGTTTCCATCGCCATGTGACTGCTACTGTGTGGTGTTTCTACTTCAAACATTGCACCATCAGAAGCTTGTCAAATGGGGATGATCTGGCTTGCCATTGAGGTAGTTGAGGGCTTAATCCAAGCTCTCCAACCCCTACCTAATCTGCATTTAATATTTTGAACTTGAGTTTGGAAAGGGAAAACGAATATCAGGTTGATTCGGGTTATTCTTGAATTGAGTAACTCGTATACATAAAAAAAAATATTTAAAATCTATCAAAATGTACAACTGTCCGATTTTAGTTACTCGTATGCATAAAAAAATATTTAAAATATATCAAGATATACAACTGCCCAAAATCACCTATCACCATCACCCAATCCAATGAATTAAAACTTTTATTTTATTGATTATTCAACCCATGCTATGCATCGATTGAGGCTTGAACTCCTAACTTCTCCTTTAGGATGCCAAGTTTATACCAACTGGACTATTGCTCATTTGGTCCCACCGGTGTACATGCATAAGGCTTTGATGTGCCTGTTTTTTAGTTTTCGAATTGCATTGTACTTAAAAAAAAAAAAAAAATAAATTGCATTGTACTCTTGAGCCTGGGCTGGTTTTGTTTTTGACGATGACTGTCTTTTTTTTGGGCCACTAATGTGGACATGGTTTCAATTATTCTTTTTCGTTGCCCATCTTTCTTTGCTGGGCCATGGGAATGCCTTGTGTTTTTATTGTAATTATATTTTTGTTATAGTATTACACTATTTAATTATCGGGAAAAAAAAAGTTTGAGAATTAGTAGTAAAAAAAAAAAACTAAAAGATTTAGTTACTAGCAAATACTCTTTAAAGGCCATTAAAAAGTAACAATTTACTAATATTTAAAGATCATTAGACAATCACTATAAATTCGTTATAGTTGCATACCCTAAACAAAACCACTATTGTACTTATATTTAAAGTTTTCTAAATAACTTTTCAGTCTTTCTGTTTTTTCTTAATAAATACTCACACATACTTGTCTCACTTTTATCCTCATTGTTAGCCTTTTTAAATTTCCTAAACCAACTTTACCAAAAAAGAAAAGAAAAAAACTACGATCTTTAACTTTTATAGCTTGCAGACTTCCACTTGAAATAGTATTCATGGACCCACATGCAATCCACCCACATCCACACACTATTCTTACACTACTACCATACTATTTCTCACACACCGAATTACTTGCAATTTTTTTCTCTCATTCACATTTATGGTGTGGACCCATATGTTTTCCTACTAGGGACGATGGACGCACATTAGAGTGACAATTGCCCACTGATTTTTTTTTTTTTTTTTAATTTTAATTTTTAATTATATACCTACAAAAATTTTACTTTGCCCCTATCTAAAACTACAATATATATATATATATATATATACACTAAATTCACTTTTTCCCATTCAAAATTTTCTGAATCCGTCTCTTAGTACATTCCTCTCTATTAGTACATTAAGAGACTTCCGATTTGAGTCTACCGGATTAAGGCTTGTATAATGAGTGCGCAATGACCTTGGGAGTTAAAAGCTAAATATGAAACAACAATTTCAATTGTTGAACTGCAAGTCAAAAAATGTAGATTACAAAACTAAAGAATTCAACATTTCTTTAATACAGCCTTTCGTTAGATGGAATGTTTTTAACCGACTGAAACTGCCCTTGCCTTCCAAACCGTAAAAGTACGTTTCTTTAATGTGTTTTAGTATAAAACGGTAAAATCTAACACGGGAGAGTCTATATATTTGTATATATTTGTATATATATAATTCGAGATAACAACAAACAATGAAATATCCATACCAATTATTACAATTGGGAACCAAACCCACTCTTTTTGTTGTGTCAAACACTTGTCAAGGCTGTGTCTATCTCCCTCACAAATTTCATAAATCACCTACCCTCCTCACTCAACAGAGAAAAAAATAAAAAATCGAAACCAAAAAAGATTGAAGAAAAACAAAATTGAAGAATCGCATAATTTTTTATGAATGAAATAAATGCTATAATTTACACTCAGTTGACTTAGTCAAACTATTGAAAATTTACAGGAGAAATCAATGAAAGAAAATCTTCCAATATTGATGTTCTTTCCTATTATAAAAGATTTACTATGGAGGAATTTGTGGAGAAAAACCTTCCAGTATTGATGTTGTTTCCTAAATCTATCTCATTCAATTCTCATTATTTCTTCTCCTATATAAAAAAGTTTTCATCATTGTATTGAACATAAAAAGATAGATTATTATAATAAAATATATGTAACCTTTTGGGCTAAGTGTGTCTTGGATGTAAGCCAAAATGGCTGAACTACGTATGTTATTACCTTGTGTTCTTCATACTTTGTTTTACAAAAATATCTGACGAGTTGATGGCGAAGCGTAAAGTAAATGGCAATCAACCAAAGGTTGATTTCTTTGATCTTTTGGTATGCTAGGTATTAGCATCTGATCGGACTTGTTCCTTCCTTTGATATATATATCTTTTAAGGGATTTTTGTCCACTGGTTACAAAAATGATTCAAGAACGTGTATATATAAACAGAAATAGAGAACTCTAAAGTAACACAAATTATAACATAATAAATTAAACACAAGAATAAATATATATTTTTCCTGAATGAACAATATAAACTTCAATATTAGTCTCATAATCCAACAAGTTGCTTTGATTTACATTCTCCACACACTCTTGAAGTTTCTGGTGAAACCAGGAAACCATACATCATTGATCATTCCATGTGCTAATTTGCTGTCCATTGCCTTCACTGCAAAAGCAATAGCTATTGAATGTGGTATTCTCAAACCCTATGAAGATTCAAATGATGCAGTAGTAGAAGGTGTAACGTTTAGAAATTACTCTCACAAGAGAGAGAATGTTAAAGGTTGAGTCTAACCGTGTAATGGCAGGCCAGATCATCCCCATTTGACAAGCTTCTGACGGTGCAGTGTTTGAAGAAGAAAGGCCACCTGATAGCAGTCACAAGCGATGGAAACAACGATGCACCCACACTGAAAGAAGCAGATATTGGGCTCTCCATGGGGATCCAAGGCAAAGAAGTGGCAAAAGAGAGCTCGGATATAGTTATCTGGGGTGATAATTTCTCCTCTTTGGTGACAGTTCTGAGGTGGGGCAGGTGTGTTTACAACAACATTCAAAAGTTTCATGTGAACGAGAAAGTCAAGGACACGCTGATCAATTTCAATAGTTCTGTTCTCTGCCAAGTTTTTAGTGAGTTTAATGCAAGGAAGCTGGAGAAGAAGAACATATTAATTAAGGGGAAACTGAAGAACAAACTGTTTCTAGGGATCGTTGGGATGACAGTAGTTCTTCAAGTGGTTATGATGGAGCTCCCAAAGAGGTTTGCTAATACTGAAAGGCTGAAATGGGATCAATGGTGTGCATGCATTGGAACATATACAGCTTCCTCAGCCTAGCTTCCAACATATAGAGCTTCAGCTGCATCCTGAAACAGACAACCACAATCAGGTGTTGCACACATATTTTGATATATATATATATATATATATTGAAATATCGAGACATGGAGCAAGATAATTAAGAAAAAGGAAATTATTACTCAGAGAAAGCTTGTTACTAATGCTAATGACAGCATGCTTTCTGATTAAAAGAGATTAGTTCTTGACAATCCAACCAATTAATCGGCCATGACAATTCACCCATTGGCCTCAAATCAGCCTTCCAGTACTAGCAATTCGCCTCTTTAGAAGCTCCACCATAACCACTTGAAGAACTACTGTCATCCCGACCATCCCTTAAATATGTTGTTCTTCCCCAGCTTCCTTGCATTAAACTTGTTAAAAACTTGGCAGAAAACAAAACTATAGAAAATGAGTGTGTCCTTGACCTTCTCGTCCACGTGAGACTTTTGAATGTTGTTGTGAACACACCTGCCCTACCTCTGAACTGTCACCAAAGAGGAGAAATTATCATCCAAATGATTATATCGATCTGAGCGCTTTTTTGCCACTTCTGTGCCATGGATCTCCATGGAGAGCCCAATTATCTGCTTCTTTGAGTGGCATCATTGTTTCCATCGCCGGTGACTGCTACCGCGTGGCCTTTCTGCTTCAAACATTGCACCATTAGACGGATAGACTCAACCTTTAACATTCCCTCTTTCTTGTGAGTAATTTCTGACCGTTACACCTTCTGCTACTGCATCATTTGAATCTTCATAGGGTTTGAGAATACCACATTCAATAGCTTCTTGTTATGTGTTGGAGCCGAACACCACGAATTCTCTGCTCTGTTTCTTCTACGGCTGCAACTTCCTTCACTCCACCATATTGATGGAGATCATCAAAAACAGAGCAAAAATTTTTCCTACGAAAATGAAAAGAATATACAAATAATGACTAACACTCAAAACTCAAATACACCCAGTAACACTCTTTAGTGATTTTTTTTTTTTGGTAAATTTAAAATATATATATATATTTCCGTAAATAACACTCTTTAGTGTCTTGTCGAAGAGGCTTAAGGGGTCTCACAAATTTCTCACTCCCCCAATACCTCACTCCTTCTGCTCTTCTGTATTTATAGAGAAAACCTACCACTTAAAGCAACAAGATACAATGTCAATATTTGTGGACCTACACTTTGACACTTATAAATGTGGCAGCCGAAATATGTACAGTGCAAGAGAGAGAGTTCACAGTTGATATGTTTTTTTTAGTATTATATCCTAATATTTTTAGAATTTTGATATATATATATATATATATATATATATATATATATCTCTATAAAATTATGCTTTTGCCCCTCCAAAAAATAGTAAAAAATTCCACATTGATACCTAACTTATGTTTCTGGATCTGTCCGTGCAAACATGTGACTACGTGTAACATTTAATAAGTGACCTGTCATCACGTACACTTAGGGCAAGTGGTATAGTGCTAGCAATACAGGTTAGCAAGGCTTTGTTGAATTGCTAGCCACATCAGCAATTGTGCTGATGTGGCTAGTAACAGTATATTGCTATCTTTCGGGCACGGTATGGGTTAATTGACATCTATTATTTTATTATTTTTTACTGTACTTTTTAATACATTTAATATTTTAAGTAAAAAAAATTAAAAACATATTTATTTTTTTTGTTTGCTTGTATTTTTTAAAACGGCTACGTTTTCGACCACTTGAATTTTTTTATATTATATATTGCTATCTTTTAGTCACGGTATGGGTTAATTGATATCTATTATTTTATTATTTTTGCTTGTATTTTTTAAAACGGCTACTTTTTTAACCAGTTGAATTTTTTATTTATTTATTACATATTTGAATAGAATACTTCTTTTAATACATTTAAATTAATATATTTTCTCATAATTAAATAAATCAAAAATACATTACATATTTTCTCACAATTACGTACATAAATAAAATAAATAAAAAGACATTACATATTTTCTCACAATTACATAAATAAAATAAAAAAAGACATTATATATTTTCTCACAATTAAATAAATAAAATAAAAAGACATTGCATATTTTCTCACAAATATAAATAAATTACATATGACCACCGCCTTCTTTTAGTTTATTTAAGATTTGATTTTGTTGTTGAATGATCCATGCCTTTGATGCTTCTGTTGGAGCCTTCGATGGATCTTGACGCATTATATCTCTTTCAAACTCCATTTCAGCCATCATTTCTCTTGTTTTTATTTCTAGCTGTTTAGTCCGTTCTTTCTCCAAATTTGATTCTATCGCCAGCTGCTTAGTTCGTTGTTTCCCCATGGAAAGTTAAAGTCTCATTCGCTTTCCTTCCACACCTACTTCACCAAACATGACGCCTTGTGCTGTTACAGCTTCTAATTGTTTAAGAATACTTGCTTCAAGATATGGCGTTTTCTTTTTACGAATCTTCCTTGCTTTTTGTCCCTCGGGACGTCACATGTTCGAACCTTCGGTATCGACTGGTGTATCGTCATCACCAAGATTTACCGACCCTGGAGTTGATACTGTAGGAGTTGATGAACCTGGTGTTGTTGGAGTCGATTCCGACCAATTTCTTGGCTCATTAATATCAAGATCAACACCTCTTTTCATTGGTCGTCTAGTTGGATTTTCGTTAACGTTGCAATGCATCTGCCATTTTTTCGAATCCCGAAGAACATTCCAACAATGCTCGTATTTAAATTTTTTTTTCTGTTGAAGTTCATATAGTTCTCTAACAGCATTCATCTATAAAAAATAAATAATCATTGAAATTAATAAGTTGGATTAAAATTAAGAATAAAAAAATATTGTACAGAGTAAAAACTTACCATATCATACTCGTTGTAACCACTGATTGGATTGTCGTGGACATTTTTGTAGTATCGTGAAAATTTGTTTACATCACGTTGAAAGTTTGAAAAACGGTTCATCAGAGCACCGTGTGATCTTTCTTCAGTTATCTTGTCTCCCAATTGCCTAATCCAATGAGCATGAATTCGTTGCCACAATGTACCCATACTTTGATCTGTACCCGTCACTGGATCTTCACCAATCATGATCCATGCTTTGCACAATGCTATATCTTCTTCTTTGGACCAATTCCCACCATTTTTCTTCAAAGGTGGCTGTGATTGAGAAGGTTGAGAGGAATTTTGGAATTGAGGTGTGTATGGGGGTTATTGAGATGGATTTTGGAATTGATTTGTGTAATGGTAACAAAATGGATTTTGAAATTGAGGTGTGTATTCTGGATAAATTTGGTTTTGGAATTGGGGTTGAGATGTATATTTAGAATCGATTGGATCTTGAGAGTGCCACCCATAATTGAATTGAGATGGTATTTCGAAGTTTCCATATTGGTTAAAATGAGAGTTGTTGAATGGAGGTCGCTGATCCATTGAATGTCGAAGGATGATGATTTAGTGAAATGAGTGTTGAAGGATGAGGGAAATGAGTGTTGAAGGATGAATATTGAGTGAAATGAGTGTCATATTTATAGAGATTGTTGTATACCCAACGGCTATATTCCCAACGACTATATTCTCAACGGCTATATTCCAACGGCTATATTTTCTCTTCTTTCATTCCTCATGTCCATATTTTCTCTTATTTGATTCCTCTGCCACTTTTCTCTTCTCTGAATTCTCAACTTTTATATAAGAAAAAAATGGCATCATCATCACAATCTTTTCAAATCTCCGAATCTGATTCTTCAAAAAATTCGTCAGATTTTGATCGGGAGATGGTTTATCAATTCCATAAAAAAAGGATCAAAACAATTCTGGATATTTTTACGCCTGAGAATCTAAAAGCATTATTTAAACCAAAGAAGAGACGATATATTAAACGTGATCGGGAGGATGCAGCACAACAACTTTGGAAAGATTATTTCATCGAAAATCCTGTGTTTCTACCTGAATATTTTCATAGACGGTTCTGAATGCGACGCCAGTTGTTTCTTCGCATTTTGAACGATATTACAACTCATGACAACTTCTTCAAACAGAAGCCCGATGCTACTGGTCGTATGGGGTGTACCCCTATACAGAAGATGACAGCAGCAATACGTATACTTGCCTATGGAATTTCAGCGGATCTTTGTGATGTGTACATAAAGGTTGGAGAGAGCACTGCTATTGAAAGCTTGAAGAGATTTTGTGATGCTTTACTTGCATTGTATGCGGAGCAGTACTTACGCTCGCCAAACGAAAACGACATTGCACGTTTACTTCAAGAAGGGGAAGAAAGAGGATTCCCAGGTATGCTTGGCTTTATAGATTGTATGCATTGGGAATAGAACAATTGCCCTAAAGGGTGGCATGGCACACACAAGGGGAGAGGTCGTAAGCCTACCCTCATATTGGAGGTGGTTGCATAAAAAAATCTATGGATCTGGCATGCTTTCTTTGGTATGGCTGGTTCATACAATGATGTGAATGTCCTAGATCATTCCCTAATATTCAATCGTATCATTAATGATACAATGCCTCCAGTTAATTACGAGGTGAATGGACATCACCGTACGTTGGGGTATTACCTATCTGATGGTATATACCTTAAGTGGGTAACTTTGATTCAAACCATCCCGCACCCAACTACTGGAAAAGAGAAATTGTTTGCTCAAAGACAAGAAGTAGTTAGGAAGGATGTTGAATGGGCATTTGGTGTGTTGCAGATAAGTGTGTTATAACGCATGGACCAGTATATTATTGGAAGAAAGAAGACCTGAGCAAGATATTGAGAACGTGCATCATATTGCACAACATGATCATAGAAGACGAGCGCGACACTAACATTTTGGAATGGACATCTCTAATGGATGAGTCGGTCTACCTTCCACAGTATAATCGAGACCGATCATTTTTGGCGGCACACATCTCCACTCGCCTCAACAGGATTTGCAATGTAGAAAGCAATGGAGATCCCAGGAGAGATCTTATAGAGTATTTGTGGAATAAATTTGGCAATGAAGAGGTTTAACGGTAATATTGAGTAAAATGTATTTCTTCATATTGTATGTTTGTGATGAATAAAATATTACTTTACAATTTTTTTTTCTTATATATTTGTTGACAAATTTTAAAGAAAAAAAAAAGCAAAATCATAAAAAAAAAAATTTACAATAAAATTAAATTACATATAAAAGGAAATAGTAACGAAAAAAAAAGAAGACCATTTCTAACAATATGATTTTTTTTTTTTTTAAAATTCATATATATTTGTTGACAAATTTTTAAAAAAAAAAAATTCAAAAGACTAAGAAATAGAAATCATAAATATTTATTTCAAAATAAAAAATAAAATAAAATAATCAAAATCATAAATATTTTTTTTACAATAAAAATAAATTACATATAAAAAGAAATAGTAAAGAAAAAAACCAAAAGAAAAAAAAAAAAACAAAAAACAAAAAAACAAAGGGAAAAGAGCCGTTGCAGCAGTGGTGGGCCTTGTTTGGCTTGCAATAGCTTTGTTACCTGTTGCGAGGTCCTTTGCTATTCTTCCTCTGTGTGCCACAAATTGCTAGTCTTATACCAAAGTAAACACTAGCAATACTGACTCCCTAGCTAGCAATAAAAGCCTTATACCGGTTGCTCTTACACACTTGTTGACTTTAGAGCCACCAATATTGACATTTCGGGTGTCCGTTAAAACCACACTGGACAAAGAAATTATGAAATCATTGTCCTTGAATATAATTGTTTCTGTGTTGAGAGGAGTTATGAGGCATGAAAGGTGAGTGACAAAGGCTGAAAAGAGAGTCAAGATTAGTTACTCTTTTTGTGGTACATACGATTAAAGAGTAGGTTTATATGTTATGTAACAGAGTTATTAGTTGTTTGCTTAAATAGGATCAGGGCTTTTGCTGGGAAACATTGTAGTACCCAAATTATCAGACATATTGCAAGCTGTAGTATCAGAATATATATAAACACACATGTAAAGAGACTATATAAGAGATTTGCAAATAGGAAAAATTATATATATATATATATATATATATATATATATATATATGTATGTATGTATGCATAATTATACCAAGTTAGAAGACTTTTTAGGGTCATATAGAGTGAACTTTTAAATTTCAAATAAATGAAAATTTTAAAATCACTGAGTTGGACATGAAAAAACAGTTATTTTGAAAGGAGGCAATATTCATACTCTACTTTTCAACACTTGCACTCCCTATTAAAATGAAATGATACATCTAATCCTAACTTTTACACCTGAATAATATATATATATATATATATATATATATATATATATATTGTAAATTACACAACAACTCTTCTAAATATGGTTAGTTTCCCCTCTCTCCAATCGTTAATGTTTTCAGTCATTTTGACGGGATTCAAAAATAAAATGCCCATCCAGAAAAAAAAATAAAATAAAATAAACCCAAAAAAAGTTATAAATAAATTATCTTTTTTTATAGAAACTTAAGGAAGAAAAAAAAAAAAAAATTGTTGAATAAATTAGTCTTTTACGTGACTTAATAAATAAAATAAAAAGTATCAAAAAAAAAAAAAACCTCGGATGTGATGTTATGACTTATTATATATATATTTATGTGTGTGTGTGTGTGTGTGTTGCATTGAGCCTACAAAGGATCAGGGAGAAGGAAAAATTTGGTAAAATCATGTGGGGTCCATTAGTAGAATGGTTGGACCAAAATTTCTTTTGTGCACCTGGGTTTGTTGATTCAAAGAATGAAGATGTGTTAAGAAGATATGGTGAGAAAAGTGTAGTTGCCAAAAAGATAAGATAGGAATGGGTGGTGGGACCCAATTGATATTTTGTGATATTATAGTATGACATGATGGTGAGCAGTTGGGTGTGCCTTTAAATAAGGTATTTTGGGTCTGTGTATGCATCTTCTGAGTAAGAAAAAAAAGAAAAGATAGAGTGAGCAGAGAAAGAGAATGAGGGTCGAAATTAAAGAGAGAACAATGAGAGACGAAAGTTACAGAGGAAGAGCTGAGATTTGCAGAGGAGGAGCTGAGAGCTGCAGAGGAGGCCGAGAGCTTGAGGCTTTGATGATTCAGTGATGAAAATTCCTTTTTAGGGTAGGGGTCTCTAAGCCACACAATCTTGCACCTTTGTGAGTTAATTTTACTTAATTAGTGTCCTAACATGTTAATTTGTGTTGATTTTACTCTAAAGTGATTTAATTGGGTATATGAAGTATATGATTTTGTGTGTAGTTGATATTGTGCAAATTAACATGCTTAATTTGAATTGATTGCCTTGAAAATGATTTTATTATTGTAAATGAAACCTATGATTATGTGTATTAATTAAATTTTGTGAAAAGCATGCCTAAATGTAAATTTTCATGCCATGATGTTTAAGATTTTGCTAGAAATTGCTATGTGAGAGTATGTTGAATTGCGTAATATGAAATTTATGAATATGTGTATTAATTGATTTGTATGAAAAACATGCCTAATGTGTTAAATCCCTTATCTTTGATGCTTATTAATTTGCTAGAAATTGCTATGTGTAGGTATATTGAATTATGTAATATAAAATCTTTTATTGTCATTACTTTGGAAAAGTATGTGATGTTCATGCATGACATTGGGCATGAAAAAGGAAAAAATGTTTTGAAAGCAAATGAAACTATTTTGGGGAAATTGTTTTGAAAAGTGTTTGCAAAAACTCGGACGCCTAGTGGTCCGTGGTGTTAGTGTGATCTAGAGGGGGTTAGAGAGAGGCTCTAGTGTGGTTGAGCTTCCCAGACGACACCATGGTGGTGCCATGTGGTCAGGGAAGACTAGCCAACCCCTCCCTCGTGACGCCTTGGAGGTGCCTTGGGTCGGATTACACTAACGATTTGGAAGTTAAAACAGAAATGTTTCTGAAATGGGGAGTGACATGAGCATGGCATTGCACTTCATTGGCATACATGGTGTATTTGTGACTTGGATGACATTTGTGTTTATATTGGATGTTGTGGTTACATCCCCGGTATAATATGATCCCATTTTTATGCTTTCTATTCTCTATGTGGATTCATGGGGGTCATAAGAGGTGTGTCTTAGGCACCTCCTAATGAGCAAATTTGCTCACCCCT